CGCTCGCGGGTCAACCCAGAGTCCCACCGCGAGCGAGCTGAGCATCTGCAGCGGTGCACACCAGTTTCGCAGCAGAGCTGACTCTGCGCTGCTCTGCCGGGAGGCGGGAGGTGGAGGTGGAGCAGGAGCCGGCTAAGGGTCCTCTGGCCAGAAGCAGTCTGGCCACTGCCATCCTCGGTGCCGCTTCGGATAACCACCAGCCTCGCATCCCCAACAGGCATTGGAGCCCGGGGCTCTGCTTGGAAATCGTCCTGGACAACTCTGTCCTTAGAGCTCTAGCAGATTATTGCATCTTTTTTTTTTTTTTTTCTTCCCTCCTAGCGCAGAGAAAGTGAGCCTGGAAAGGGAAGGTGGGGGCGGGGACACCCCAAAGAATAAATAAATAAACAAATAAACACTGGCTACTCGCCGCCGCTGGACGCGGTCAGTTGAGTCCAGGTTGGTGGTATTTTGAGTTTTCTCCTTCTACTTGGGAACCCATCGCCACCCCTCCCGATCCAGTCACCCCTTTCCATGCTGCTGGCGTCCTCCAACTTTGGGGCCGGGGGCACTTGAGGCGCGGGGCTGCACCTGCCCGGGCGCTGGGATGCTGTGGGCCAGCTCGCTCTCCCGGGGCAGTGATGTGGGCGCGCAGGAGTCTCGGGTGCTGGGCAAGCAAGCGTGAGACAAAGATGCTCCGAAGGGAGCTCGGGATGTGTGGCGAGTAGGGGCTTAGGAGCCCGGTTTCGACCTCAGCGAGAGTCGTTTTCCTCTAGCCCGACTGCCTAGGAAAGGAGGAGAAGCCCGGGGAGGGGGCAGTTGGCGACGGCGGGTAGTGATTGGTGGCTTGGATGCGGAGGGCCAGAGGCTGAGCGAGCGAGAGCTGGCTAGCCGGCGACCCGGAGCGGGGTCGGGGGGGGGGGGGGGGGGGGGGGGGGGCGGCCAACTTCCTGGGAGAATGGTCTCTTTCCACGCCGGGGCTGGTTAGGGCGCTGCCGCCGCCCAGGCTCGGAGTCCGGGCTGGGCCAGCTCCGCTCCGGACGCTGGGAAAGTAACATTTATTTATTTGCTTGCATTCAGCCTCTTGGGTTGTGCCTGGTAGACATCCCCTTCGGACCTTGGGAACCCTATCCGACCCCTCCAGCCCCAAACCACCGGTTCCGGCGCCTCCCCAGGCTCCGGAATAGACAAGTACGCACCTCCTGCGCCCCGACCCGGGTGGGGGCGGCGTTGGAAAGTCCCCCAAGGCGGGAACGGGGGAGGGGAGAGGGGCGGGAGCGGGAAGCCTCGGCACTCTGGGCTCTCATTTCAACGCGCGCTCTCCCTTCTAGGTTGGGTCGGAACTGAACCCCTAAAAGCCAGACCGCCTCCCGCCCTCCTGCGCGCCTGGAGCTGAGTCGCCAGCGGCGGTGGGCGGCAGATGGACCGAGAGTTTCCTCTAGCCCTGGATGGAGCTGAACTTTGAGCTGCCAGAGGAGCGCGGCGGTCCGGGGATCGCAGCGTGCTAAACTCTCCGGGCGAGACCTAGCGGCGGCTCTGGATTTTTTTTGGGGGGGGGCGGGGACCAGCTGCGCGCCGGCACCATGTTCCTGGCCACTCTGTACTTCGCGCTGCCACTCCTGGGTAAGTCGAGGCCGCCACTGGTTGTCGTACCCACTGAGTCTTTAAGTGTGTGTGGAGGGGTCAATCGCAGCAGTAACCCCCAAATTCCTGCGCGGATGCTGTGGATGTAGGTGGAAGAAGTTTCCTTTGGGTCCCCCCCCCCTCGAGGCTCAAGACTTCCTGGGCTTGGGGTGGCGGCGCAGCTTTTCGTGGTTGATTTTATTTCGTTGTGTTTTTTAATGACCTAGCCTGGAAGGAACTGAGGGGTTAGACCTCCGTCCCTGGGCGCTGGTTCCCAAGCTAGTCTCCAGGAGCTCGCCCGGTCGCGCGGACAGGTGGAATGTGGTCCTGTATTGGGGTCTGGAGAGAGCAAACTTGGAAGGGAAAACTTTTCTCGGAATAACGTCTCTGCGCTCCCAGCTGGGCAGAGTGGACGGCGACTCTCCAGCCTCTCGCCCAGGGCTCGCCGGGCGCCCAGTGCGCCACCGCGCTGCTCAGTCCAGAGTCCTCAGACTGCAGCTGGCCTGACTGGGCCAGGAAACGATGTAGCCCAGGGCTCCCGGGGAGGCGGGGCCGCGAGCCCCACGCGACTGGGCCTTGGGACAGCGTGGAATCCTAGGCAAATCCGCAAAGGCTGCCTCAGCAGAGCCCATACCACCCAACTTGGCGGGCCAAGGATGAAGGGATGGTGGCGGGAGTTCCAGCGGCGGAAAAATTGTGTTCCCGGAGTAGAGGGGTGGACCAGCTCCCTGGTTTTCCCCGACCCCCGCCAAGATTGGAGGAGCTATCCTGAGCCTGACGTGTGTCCTCTCCCAGGGTCTGAAATCAGGGTCCCCTCTAGTCTGCACTCATGCGTTCTTGCTTCTATGGTGCAGATTTGCTCCTGTCTGCCGAAGTGAGTGGCGTCGACCGCCTTGACTGCGTGAAAGCCAGCGATCAGTGCCTGAAAGAACAGAGCTGCAGCACCAAGTACCGCACGCTAAGGCAGTGCGTGGCGGGCAAGGAGACCAACTTCAGCCTGGCTTCCGGCCTGGAGGCCAAGGATGAGTGTCGTAGCGCCATGGAGGCCCTGAAGCAAAAGTCTCTCTACAACTGCCGCTGCAAGCGGGGCATGAAAAAAGAAAAGAACTGCCTGCGCATCTACTGGAGCATGTACCAGAGTCTACAGGGTACGCACCGACCCCCTGCAGGGTCGGTTTCTTAAGGCAGGGGTCCCCTGGGTCTGGGTCCGGTCGGTTCCCGGCCCCCGCCAGCTGAGCTCATCTTCCAGTCACTTCTCCCCATCTGCGGAATGAGGACCTTTCATTGGCCCCTGGGGACAGCGGCAGCTGGTGTTTGCTGCGGCTGAGCAATATTGTTAAGGTGCAGGGTCTGTTTCTTAAGGCAGGGGTCCCCTGGATCTGGGTCCGGTCGGTTCCCGGCCCCCGCCAGCTGAGCTCATCTTCCAAGTCACTTCTCCCCATCTGCGGAATGAGGACCTTTCATTGGCCCCTGGGGACAGCGGCAGCTGGTGTTTGCTGCGGCTGAGCAATATTGTTAAGGGCTGGTTGTTGGAAAACCCACGAGGGGGTGGAGCACCCCAGGGACCCCGTTGGCCTTTCTGAAACCTAGTCGGAACATCAGAGTGGGGATGCGTTAAAGGCACCTAAGGAGCTCAGGGCTTCTCCCCAAGGTGAGCCGGCTGAGTCGTCCACAGGCTTTAAAGTAGTAATACAAAGGCTTGCCCTGCATTTCCCAGGGAGTTTTCCTCCTTCCTTTATAATATGAGATGAAGAAGTATTAAAGAACCAGGGAAATCCATTCTGTCTTTACTCCCTCAAACCTGTTCAAAGGCACATGTGTGAAAAGCCATTTGTCATAGATTAGTTGAGTCTTGAACCAGCTGCTGCAGTTCAACCTGGGTTAAAGAACAGGCAGCTCCCGGTTGGAGAAAGAGCCACTTGTCACAACTGCTCATTCCAATGGGACTTTTTTGGGGAATACTTATATGCCAGAGATGGTAGGAGTTTGTAAATGGAGCATACACACCCCGTACCTTCGTTCTCCACTGAGACTCAACACTGAAAATTTATAACACACAACCTTGAACTGTCAGCTGCCACTTCCAACCTCTATTCATGACAAGCTGTTTTTAGAGATGGCCTGATGAATAGCCAGTGTACCTACTTGTACATTGCCTTGGTTTGGGGAGCTAACAGAAATGGGGGCCTCTCCTGGGTCTCCTTTCTTCCATTGGTTCCCGGAGGCAAGCAAAATTTGTGACGTCACTGGATCTCTGCTCTCAGATTTCAATTCCTTTGCAGAGTGGGAGAGTTTTCTGGCAAGCCTGTTTTTCAGATCTGAGCCCATTCTTTCTGTTGTTTCTAGGAAATGATCTGCTGGAAGATTCCCCATACGAACCAGTTAACAGCAGATTGTCAGATATATTCCGTGCCGTCCCGTTCATATCAGGTAAGTGGATTTATGCTTCCACCCTGATGCCTTTGCCAGCTTGGAGTCTGTTGTTTTGACTTCTCTGACTCTAAAGTACAGTGCAAGATGATAGTAGAATGGCACTGTGTTTCTGTAAATTAGAAGTTGGATGAAGATAGTGAGCAGGTGGACTGCCTAACAAGGAGCACATGGGCTAAGAGTAAATTGAAATGAAGTGATGTGGTGTGGTGGATTGGAAGAGCCTGATGGGAGGTGACTGAGTTGACTTTTTTCCACAATGAAATATGATTGGCCAACACTGGGCAAAGGGAACACTACTTCTGTCCGTAGGGGGCAACCATCATCTTGCTGAATCAGCCTCTGTTACTCAGTGGCTCTGTGGAGTGGGATCAATTCCTCTAGGAAACACTGGAGATAACCTTAAACTGTTGAAGATTGTGGGTGGATTCCCTTGATGTAAAGCTAACGCTCTGCCATTTGTTAACACTTTTTCTGTTTCTGACTTGTTCTGAGCAAGTGGGTGACTTCTGAGAGAATATATTTCTGCCTCAGCTGCCCTTTAAATTATAGTCTTGATGCCATGGCTTGTTTTGTCTTTTTTTAAAAAATATTTCATTTATTATTTTTATTTTATGTGTGTAAGTGTATTGCCTGTATGTGTGTAAATGCATCTGTGTCATGCAATAACACAGAAGAGGGCATTGGTCAGAAGAGGGCATTGGATTCCCTGGAACTGGAGTTAGATGGTTGTTAGCTACCATGTAGGTGCTGGGAATCAAACCTGGGTCCTCTGCAAGAGCAGCCAGTGCTCTTAACTGCTGAGCCATCTCTCCAGCCCCTATTTTGTCTTTCTTTGTCATTCTCCATTTGATTTGGAAGTGAACTGAAGTCTTAGAACTAAGTTTTTCCTAACATCTGCATTCAGGCAGCCCATAAATAATAAGCAAGGTAGTAATTTCTCTTAATGAAATTCAGATTCCAGACTGATGCTGTCTCTTTATTCACAGTTAAGACATTTTCACAAATATATAACCATCACAAATTACACATTTCTTGGTTAACCGTGGTGCTTAATGTTGGATTTGATTCTATGAGATGATGGTTTGTTACTGAAGAGAGTGTCCTGGTGTTCCAAATGCCTTAGGTTTTAATGCAGAAAATCACAGAACCAAGGGAGTATGTGAATATTGATGTTCTGTGTGAGTGTGTTATATGTAACTTATTTGCCAAATATCCATTGAGGACCTACATTGTAGTTCTGGGAGCCAATTCCCATCTCTACCCTCATGAATCTTAGACACAGTAGCTGCTGACATTTAATGAAACTTTACTATGTGCCAAGCATTGCGTTAGGTACTTCTCACTGACTTAACACAGACATCAAGTAATTCCATTCTAGGGATGAGCAGACTGAGACACGGAGAAAGTAGGAAGGGCATCCTAAGATCACAAAGATTCTAAATGGAAGAACCAGAATTTAAAGCCAGATTTATTTGACTGCAAGGTTTTAAAAAAATGTTTTATTTTTATTTTAATTTGTGTGTATGAGTGTATTGCCTGCATGTATTTAAGTGCAGCCATGTCCTGCAATGCCTATGGAGGTCAGAAGAGGGCATCAGATTCCCTGGAACTGGAGTTATAGACGGTTGCTAGTCATCATGTGAGTGCTGGGACCCACACCTAGGTCCTCTACAAGAGCAGCCAGTGTTCTTAACTGCTGAGCCATCTCTCCAGCCCCTGTTGTTTTAAACAGCAACTCTTTGCTGTTTGGAGTGTGATCCTTACACAGATTGGCAGCCTTGATATAGTAGTTAGAATTGAAGGGTACATCCCAGGCCTATTCAGAGTCTACATTCTAGCAAGGTCCCTTGGTTGGGCCCTTTATGGGTACTGGAAACTTAGATGCACTTACATAGTTTTGCCTTTTGATTTAGATGAAAGATATGTGTGTATTGGAATAAGATATGCAGCTACAAGCTTGGTTTCAGAGACATTCATGCTCTCCTAAATAATGCTGGTAATTTTCATTTCAAATTTCTACTCATTTTCTCTGTCCTGCAAGGACAGTGGCTCAGGCGTTGGAAGAGAGATGCATAGATACCTGTGCTTTCATGGAAACAGATTTCAAGGAAACTAAGAAAGGGTATAGTTGACAGGGTACCAGAAGAAAAGCGGATCTTTTGTGTTTTTGCGGGGCAGTGCCTCTTGCCTGCTGCCTGTCCTGTGGGAACAGTACTTCTGCTCTTCCCACTGATGACTGGAAGGTTACACCCTCTCCCTAAGAAGTGAGGAAGCAGGTAAGGAAAAGGGGCATTTGGATTTTAATTTCAGAACTGTGGTGAGCTAAGGGGCCTTTTACAGACTCCTTGTCTCTTGCTGCGTCATTCATTTCTCCTTGATATAATGAGGCAATTGGAGGGAGTACGTAATCTCCAGTTCTCCAGTCTGATTCTGAAAGAAGATCGAGGTCACCTCCAGAACCCCTCCCTTGTGCTCTTGCATCACCTTTCCAGTCTTTGTATTCAGGTCTCCGCTTGAAGTGACACACACGTTCCTGGGTATCACCAGCTTGTTGGAACTTCCTTGATGAGTATAGGAAAATCTTCTGTATGGACCATGTTTCTCTTACTCATTTATTGGCTGCTTCTCTCAGTCAGGTCTATTTTCATAGCCAACAGGATCCTGGGTATGTGCGACCCATTTTGCTGAGTACTCAGAAGTCAAAATAAATTGAGCAGAGGCAGGAAGGCCTTGTCTAGAGCTTGCATTTTATATCTCAAGGGCAATGGATTTAGGTTCTAGCACTAATGAGCTTTGACCTCTGACAGTGACCTTGTTCCTTCAGTGGGTAGAGTAAAGCCAAATGGAGCCTTGAGAGGTTTGAAGTCTTTGATTAGGCACATTAGTCAGTGTGGCCTCTGTAGGATGGAGGCCAGAGAAGCAGGATGATACATGTATGTTTTCATGGATTGAGTCTGAGTTTCTAGGATATCTCTTATATCTTGGACATGTCTCTGAGGAAGCCAGGATAACAGGGTCTCTGGAGTTCTACAGATTGTATTAGTCACTTTTCTGTTGCTGTGATAAAACACCATGACAAAAGCAACTTATAGAAGGAAGAGTTTATGTGGCTTACAGTTCTAGAGGGAGAGTCCATAATGGGGTGGGGGAGCATGGCGGCAGAGGTGGCCAGAGCAGAAAACTGAGATCGCACATCTTCAAGCAGGCACAGGAAGCAGAGAGTGACAGACCAGGAGTGGGCATGGCTTTGAACTCTCAAAGTTAGCCTCCAGTGACATGCTTCCTCCAGCAAGGCTGCACCTCCTAAAGGTTCCATAACCATCCCTAAACAGTGCCACTAACTGGGGACCAAATGTCCAAATACTTGGAGCCTATGGGGGACATTCTCATGCAAACCAGCTCACAGGTTCAGTAGCCATCATGAATCTGGATTCCCCTGCCTGCTATGAGTGTTTTTATTCACATATATGTGTGAACTCTCTATTCCCGTTGAGTAATACACGTTTGACATCCTTGCTGGGGAGATTGCTCAGTGACTTAAGAGCATGTTTGAGAGCATGAGGACCTGAATTCGGATCCCCAGCATCCACATGAAAACGATGTAGTGATGCAAGGCTGTTACCTCAGTTGGGGGAGGGGGCAGAGATAGGCAGATCCTGGGGCCAGCCTGAATGGTCAGCCAGTCTAGCCAACCACCAAGCTCCAGTTTCAGTGAGAGACCCTGTGTCAAAAGTAAGGTGAAGAGAGATAGAGAAAAAAACACTCAACATCAACCTCTCTGGCTTCTACACGCACATGAATGTCTGAGTGCATCTGTACATATACTTAGACACAACACACACACACACACACACACACACATGCTAAATTTGACATTCTTGTGTTCCCACTTTCTTTGGAGTTATCAAACCCACAGCTGTCTTTTGCTACTGCTTACTTGTTAACCAGTAAGAGGCTTTGTGGCGATATTATATGTGGTCTAGCAGAATCAAGGAAATGAATGAACATAAGGTAGACTCTCAAGCTCTTCTATGTTCTGAAGTCTGAGGTGAAGCAGCTTAGTCAGGCCAGTGTTTCCGTGGACTATTGGCAGGCCTACACTTGTGAAAATTTGATAGCAGAAGCCTCTGGACTCTAAGGCACACTAAGAAACCTAAGAAGTTGTGTTTACTGTAGGCTGCTGCCAGTGTGGTTTTCAGGGGTTTGTAACAGGAAGTACATAAAGGAAACAGCGTGCTGGTATGAGAACATGCTGGGGTAGATGAAAGAACACAGAAAGGTCTCCTGGGAGCCAAGAGGGCAGAACTGGGTGGGTGCTTGGAGGCTTAGAGACCAGAGGTTACCACGTAGTATTTAACATCTCTTGGCCACAGCCCTCGACCCTTTAACCTCTGATCTGCTTCCCCTTTTCTCCTCACAAAAGTTCAAACAACAGCAAGAACTAAATCGCAGCTTGAAAGGATGATGAATCTGTTGGTCATTTTTTTCCTTTGACTGTCCAGAGAGGGAAAATAAAGAAGAGAGAAATTTTGGAAGTCTAGTGGGTGCCAAGAGAAGCCCGAGAGGAGGGTCTGAGGGAAGAGATAAGCCCTTCTTAGGCAGCAAAAGAAAAAGAGGCTCTGAGGGTTCAAAGTACTAAGTGGACTTTAGAAATCAAGAGTTGCCAGTCTTTGTCCCCATATAATCGAAGTTGACAGTACAGCATTAGAAAGTCAGATGGAGAGATGGTGGAGGAAGGATGATGTTAGAATTGGAACAGCCTGTGAATGATTCAGTGCCTCTGTCATCCTTTCCTTAACAAGTCCTATGAGTCTCTTAGATCTTTCTGGAAGCCTCAGGACCTTGAGATTGATGCCCAAGTAATTGGAAATAGTTTGATCCAGGAATACGATGTGCCTAAGTGCTCCTGAGTTTGGCTTTCTGAGTAAAGTTGTGCATCCTTAGTTGTGCTTGTCATTTCTGAGTTAATGTACCATGATCTTTATGTCACTACTTTA